CTTGGGAACGTCATCGACCCCCGGGATGTCATCGCTGGGGCCTCGCTGCAGGTACGAGACCCTATGATAGCACATGAGAGACCCTATAATAGCATATGGGAGACCCTATTTACTGCAGGGTCTCCCAATGGGGTTGGTGTTCACTGCAGGGTCTCGCAATGGGGTTGGTGTTTACTGCAGGGTCTCCCAATGGGGTTGGTGTTCACTGCAGGGTCTCCCAATGGGGTTGGTGTTCACTGCAGGGTCTCCCAATGGGGTTGGTGTTCACTGCAGGGTCTCCCAATGGGGTTGGTGTTCACTGCAGGGTCTCCCAATGGGGTTGGTGTTCACTGCAGGGTCTCTCCTATTGCAGGACCTGCAGCAAAGGCTCCACACCAAGGTCCTGGACCCCCACGAGCTCCGAGTGGCCACAGAGGGCCAGGTTCGCCCTTCCCTGCCCCATAGCCCCCCTTTACCGCTCCAACTCCTCCCTTTGACCCCCCCATATCCCCCCCATAACCCCTCCTTTTCCTGACCCCCCCTTTCCCCATTGCAGCGGCTCCAGTTCCCCCAGGGCATCCCTGAGTGTGGTGCTGATGCCCTGCGCATGTTCCTGTGCTCCCACAATGTGCATGGTGAGAGCCGGCGGGGGGGCACTAGGACCCTGCGTGCCCCCCGTCCCCATTGAGTGCCCTTGGTCTCCATTGGGTGCCCCCCATCCCCATTGAGTGCCCCTATCCCGTCCCCCCCCATAGGGGACAGCATCCGGGTGGCCGCAGGGACAGCCCTGACCCACAGGCGCTTCTGCAATAAGGTCTGGCATGGGGTCAGGTTCGTGCTGCAGGCACTGGGGCCCCACTATGACCCACAGCGACCTGAGGAGGTATGGGGGGGCCAAAAGGGGGCTTTGGGGGGGCAAAGGGGGGTTTGGGGGTGGAAGAGGGGTTTGGGTGGGTAAAGAGGGGGGTATGGGGGGGTTTGGGGGGTTCAAAAGGGGACTTTGGGGGTGGAAGAGGGGTTTGAGTGGGTAAAGAGGGAGTTTGGGGGGTTCAAAAGGGGACTTTGGGGGTGGAAGAGGGGTTTGGGTGGGTAAAGAGGGGGGTATGGGGGTTCAATGGGAGGGTTAGATGGGTAAAGGGGGGGGTTTGGGGGGTGAAGGGGGAATGTCAGGGGTTTGAGGGTTAAAGAGGGAGTTTGAGGGGGTGTAAAAGGAAGGTTTTGGGGTTAAAAGGGGGGGTTTTGGGGGTGCAAGGGAAATGCCCCCCCCAAGCATCCCCCTTTGCCTCCCCTTCTGCATCCCTGTGTCCATTGCCGCAGTGCTGCCCCCGTGTGGCCATGGGCCGCTGGGTGCTGGGGCGGCTGCTGCAGGCGGTGGGAGCCTGCACCCGGCACTTGGAGGCGCTGGAGCCCCACGGAGCCCTCGGGGCCGTGCAGCACTTCTGGACCCGGAGCTTCTGCGACGTCTTCCTGGTGCGTGTGGGGCCTGCCCCTGAACCCATTGAGGGCACTGATCCCATTGAGGGCACTGAACCCATTGATGGCACTGATCCCATTGATGGCATTGAACCCATTGATGGCACTGAACCCATTGATGGCACTGATCCCATTGATGGCATTGGACCCATTGATGGGTCCATCCTGCTCCTGCCATTGATGGCAATGAACCCATTGAAGGCATTGAACCCATTGATGGGTCTATCCTGCCCCTGCTATTGATGACATTGAACCCATTGGTGGGACCATCCTGCCCTTGCCATTGATGGCAGTGAACCCATTAATGGGTCCATCCTACCCCTGCCATTGATAGCATTGAGCCCACTGATGGGTCCATCCTACCCCTTCCATTGATGGCATTGAACCCATTGATGGGTCCATCCTGCCCCTGCCGTTGATGGCACTGAACCCATTGATGGCACTGAACCCATTGATGGGTCCATCCTGCCCCTGCCATTGATGGCACTGAACCCATTGATGGCATTGAACCCATTGATGGGTCCATCCTGCCCCTGCCATTGATGGCATTGGACCCATTGATGGCATTGAACCCATTGATGGGTCCATCCTGCCCCTTCTATTGATGGCACTGATCCCATTGATGGCACTGATCCCACTGATGCCTCCTTCTCCCCATAGGAGGCCTCCAAGGGGCTGCTCCAGGACCCAGTGACAGCGCCGGACACGCGCCAGACCCTGCTCTGCTGCGTGGATGTGGGGCTGCGGCTCCTGGCCCCCTTCGCCCCCTTCCTGAGCGAGGAGCTGTGGCAGCGGCTGCCCCGCGCCCCACCGGTGCCCCCCAGCATCACCCTCGCGCCCTTCCCCGATGCCTCCAGCCTGGTGAGTGCCGTTGAGAACACACCGAGACCCCATCGATGGCTCGGTACTGCCCTATAGACACCCCATTGACGCCCCATTGATGCCCCATTGGTGTTTCGATAACACCCTATAGGCACCTGATTGACACCTCAGTAACTCCCCATTGATGACATCCAATTGATGCCCCATTCACATCTCATTAACCCCCTATAGACATCCTAATAATGCTCCATTGATGGCCATTGACATCCCATTATCACCTTATTGACAACTCAATAACTCCCCATTGATGACACCCCATTGACACCCTACTGACACCTGAATAACTCCCCATTGATGCCCTATTGACATCGCATTAACACCCCATTGACACCCCATTGACGTCCCATTAACACCTCAGTAACGTCCCATTGATGCCCTAATGACATCCCATTGATGCCCTATTGACATCTCAGCACCCCATTGTCCCCCTATTGATGCCCCATTGACCCCATTGTCTGTGTCCCCCCAGGCCCACTGGCACTGCCCCACTGTGGAGCAGGAGGTGGGGGCCATGCTGGAGGTGGTGCGGGCGGTGCGGGGGCTGCGGGACACCTTCCGCCTTGGGGCAGCCCGGCCCCCCGGTGAGTACTACAAGTCCCAGCATGCTTTGGGGCAGCCAGTATGGCTGACATGCATATGGGGACTACAAGTCCTAGCATGCTTTGGGGCAGCCAATATGGCTGACATGCATAAGGGACTACAAGTCCTAGCATGCCCCAGGGCCTTCAATGTGGCTGTCAGTCATCTGGGACTACATGTCCCAGCATGCCCTGGGGCAGCCAATATGGCTGACAGCTCTATAGGCCTCCATGTCCCAGCATGCACTTGGCTGCCCCATGCCTCAAGATGGCGGCCCCCACTGGAGGCCGCCACAGCCCAGCCATCCCATCATGCTGTGGGGCGCACGGAGGCGCCATGTTTCCCTCACACCCCCACTGGAGGCAGCCATGTTGGGTGGGCCGAGGGGCAGCGCCGCTATCCCAGTATGCTTTGCGCAGTGGCGGTGCAGTGCCCAGCGGAGACACGCGATTGGTTGGAGCCGCTGGGCCCCACCCTCCGGATGTTGGCGCAGGCGGGGCCGCTGAAGCTCCTCCCCCTGGGGGCGGAGCCAGAGCCGGGCCCGGGCTGGGTGAAGGCGCCTGCAGGCCCCGACACCCACGTGCTCCTCTGCCTGCAGGTGAGTGCGCCCCGGGGCATTGTGGGATATGGGAGGAGCCCAGGGGCATTGTGGGATACTGGGGGTGTCCCAGGGCATTGTGGGACACTGGAGGACCCCCCCCCCTTCCTTGCAGGGCCTGGTGGAGCCGGCGGCCGCCCGGGCCCAGCTCCGCAGCCGCAGCCTCGGCCTCCAGCGGCGCCTCCAGAGCCTGGGGGGGGCCCCAGAGCCGAGGGACCAGCACCAGGTATGGCCTCATTGAGCCCCATTGAACCCCATTTAACACCATTGACCCCCATTGCATCTCACTGCACCCCGTTGAATCCATTGACCCCCGTTGTACAGCCATTGTATTCCATTGTACCCCATTGCACACCCGTTGAACCCCATTGACCCCTGTTGCCCTCCACTGTGTCCTATTGACCCCCACTGTACCCCATTGACCCCTATTGTGTATTCATTGAACCCCACTGACCCCTATTGTATCCCTTTGACCCCCATTGACCCCCATTTCATTCTGTTGACCTTCATTGTACACCCGTTGAAACCCATTTACTCCCACTGTACCCCCATTGTATCGAATTGACCCCATTGTGCTCCATTGCACCCCATTAGGCCTCCATTGTATCCCATTGCGCCCCATTGCACCCCACTGCCCTCCCTTGTACCTGTATTGCCCTTCATTGCACCCTACTGTACCCCTACTGCTCCCCCTTGCATCCGATTGTATCCCTATTGCCTCTTATTGTCCCCCATTGCCACCCATTACCCCCCAGTGCATCCCATTGGCCCCCATAACCCTGCAGGGCCAATGGGGGGGGGGGTCATTAACCACATTAATCTCATTAATGGGGGGGCTCATTAACCTCATTAATGGGGGGCTCATTAACCTCATTAACGGGCAGCTCATTAACACTGTCATCTTTAATGTGCCCCCCCCCCCCCATCCCAGGTCGCCATCCTCCGCTCCGAGCTCGCCCGCCTCCAACAAGCACTGGAGGCCCTGGAGCCCTTGGACCCCCCCTCGGACCCCCCATTGAACCCCCCCTCAGATCCCCCATTGGACCCCCCCTTGCACCCCAAAACCCAATAAACCCCCCCCAACGCCCTCTTTAAGCTCTCTTTGGCCTCATTCTTTCCCCCCCGGGACCCATCACGAGTGTCCTGGGCTCAGCCCACATTGGGGGGGGGGGGGGGGGCCCAGGCTCCTCCTCCTTCCCCCCCCCCGCCCCCCCCATTCCATTGGGATCCAGGCGCTGCCGCTGCCGTGTGGGGACATCGGGGACAGCGACGCCTGCTCCTGCCTCAGGTATCGGATCCCCCCCCCATGGTCCCTCTTTGGGCTCCCCCTTTGTGTCCCCCCCTGTGTCCCCCCCACACCCCCATGTCCTTGGTGTCACCCCAGTGACGTCCCCATCACCATCACCTCTCGTCCCCTCCCCTTCCCCAGGTCATGGCTGAGGGGTGCCCCAGCGGTGCCCCCCCCATGGATGCCCCTATGGATGTCACCATGGTCCCTATGGATGTCCCTATGGATGTTGCCATGGTCCCTATGGATGCTCCTATGGATGTTGCTATGGTCCCTATGGATGTCCCCATTGTTACCGTCACCCCCTGGACCAGCGGCATCACCATCACTGTCACCGCAGCACCACCGGATGAGGATGATTGGGACAATGGGGACATTGGGGACAATGGGGATGTGGTGACCCCAAGGGACAATGAGGATGTGGTGACACCAAAGGGCATTAGGGACGATGGGGATGTGGTGACCCCAAAGGGCACTGGGGACAATGGGGACGTGGTGGCCCTAAAGGCCATTGAGGACAATGGGGATGTGGTGACCCCAAAAGACATTGGGGACAATGGGGACGTGGTGACCCCAAAGGACATTGGGGACAATGGGGACTTGGTGGCTCCAAGGGACAATGAGGACAATGGGGTCGTGGTGACCCCAAAGGGCACTGGGGACAATGGGGATGTGATCCCAAAAAGCACTGGGGACAATGAGGATGTGGTGGCCCCAAATGACATTGGGAACAATGGGGACGTGGTGACCCCAAAGGGTACTGGGGACAATGGGGATGTGGTGGCTCCAAGGGACATTGGGGACAATGAGGATGTGGTGACCCCAAAGGGCATTGGGGACAATGGGGATGTGATGACCCCAAAGGGCATTGGGGACAATGGGGATGTGGTGACCCCAAAGGGCATTGGGGACAGGGATGGTCTGGACCTCATGGACAAGGACACTGGGGACAGTGGGGATGTGGTGGCTCCAAAGGGTACTGAGGACAATGGGGATGTGGTGAGCCCAAAGGACATTGGGGAAAATGGGGATGCGATGGCTCCAAGGGACACTGGGGACAATGAGGATGTGATGACCCCAAAGGGCACTGGGGACAGGGATGGTCTGGATCTTATGGACAAGGACACTGGGGACAATGAGGATGTCGTGCCCCCAAAGGACAGTGGGTACAATGGTGACAATGGGGATGTGGTGACCCCAAAGAGCATTGGGGACAATGGGGATGTTGTGACCCCAAAGGACATTGGGAACAATGGGGATGGGGTGGCCCCAAAGGACATTGGGGACAGTGAGGATATGGTGACCCCAAAGGGCATTGGGAACAATGGGGATGCGGTGGCCCCAAAGGACACTGGGGACAATAAGGATGTGGTGACCCCAAAGAGCATTGGGGACAATGGGGATGTTGTGACCCCAAAGGACATTGGGAACAATGGGGATGGGGTGGCCCCAAAGGACATTCGGGACAATGAGGATATGGTGACCCCAAAGGGCATTGGGAACAATGGGGATGCGGTGGCCCCAAAGGACACTGGGGACAATGAGGATGTGGTGACCCCAAAGGGCATTGGGAACAACGGGGATGCGGTGGCCCCAAAGGACATTGGGGACAATGAGGATGTGGTGACCCCAAAGGGCACTGGGAACAATAGGGATGTGGTGACCCCAAAGGACATTGGGGACAATGAGGATGCGGTGGCCCCAAAGGACAATGGGGATGTCGTGGCCCCAAAGGACATTGGGGACAGGGAGGCTCCGGACATTGGGGCCGAGGCCATTGGGGACCTCCCATCAATGGGGGACATTGGGGACATCCCTGCCTTTGGGGCTGGGGATGACGTCAGCGATGACGTCACAGGCTGGGGGGGCACCCTTGGGGGCACGTGCGTGGCCGGCGGCATCACCATCACGGTGGTGGCGCCCCCCCCGGAGGATGAGGATGTAACTGATGATGATGTCATCGCCAGTGATGACGTCACCTCCTCCGCCCCTGAGGAGCCCTTCGTGGGTGATGTCATTGCCCAGAGTGACGTCACTTCCTCCCTGCCCGGAAGTGATGTCACAGATGACGTCATCGCGGGGGCCGACACCATTTCCGAGCTTCCTGGGGAGGAGCTTGCCGGCGGCGACGTCACTCACGGTGATGACGTCACTGATGATGTCATCGCCGCGCACGGCCCCATTGCCCTCTCCAGGGATGTCTGCGCTGATGATGTCATCGATGACGTCACTGCAGAGGAAGACACAGCCGGTTTTGTACCTAGGGACGCCCCTGCTGATGACGTCATCGCCGACGATGATGTCATTGTCAACGATGATGATGTCATCACCGGTGATGTCACTTCCTCCTTGCCAGGAGACGGTGACCTCACTGGTGACACTATCTGCACCAATGAGCATGCTCCTTCCGCTTGGGATGACATCACCGATGATGTCACGCCTGAGGATGACATCACTTCCCCCATCCCCATTGGCTGCGCTGGTCATGACGTCACTCCCGAGGGTGACATCACGCCAGGGGACCCCATGCTTGAAGACACCACCCCCCGGGATGATGACGTCACCGATGACATCACCACCGAGGCCCCCAGAGGGGATGCCCCAGGTAAAGGGGAGGGGCTATGGGGAGAGGGGGCGTGGTCTAACGCTAGACCACGCCCCCTCCCGTGTTGCCTGTGTCCCCCTACAGGCCCCCCCCAGGCGCAGACGCCCTCCCCCGGCTGCCCCCTCGTGTTCTTGGCCCTCGTCTGCCTCCTGCTGGCCCTGCTGCTGCTCGCAGGGGTCTTTGCGGTGCGGGGGGGGGTCCCCAATGAGCCCCCATTTGCTGGGTCCTTTGGGGGGGGTCCCCAAATCCCGTGGGGGGGGAAGGGAAAGAGGGGGGGTGGTTCCCATTCATGATCCCCAATGGGTCCCCATCAACTTGGGGTCCGGGAGGGGGGGGGGTTCCCCAATGGATCCCCAACCCTTGGGTCCCCATGGGAGGTCCTGGTGGGGGGGGGGGGTCCCTGTTACCCCCCCCCCCCCCCCGCAACGCTCTTATTGCCCCCCTTCCCCCCTAGGCCGCGCATTACATCCGGGTCTTCCTCATCAGCTCCGCCCCCATCGGCGAATCCTTCCCATGAATGGGATGAGAAGGGGGGGGGCCCCTCCCCAACAATAAATCCCAACCCCCCCCTCTCCGTGCCCCATTTGGCGAGCCCGGGCTTGCCCCCGCGCGGGGGCCGGACAATGGCACAATGGGGGGGGGGAGGGACCGAGCCATTGGGGACAATGGGGGGGGGGGGGCATTGGGTTGGTCCTGGCTCTATAAAGGAGGGATGAGGACATTGGGGGGGGGGGTCCGGCAGAGCCATGGGGGTGATGGGGACGCTCGTGGTGGTCCTGGGGATGCTGCTGCTGATGGGGGGTGAGGGGGCAGTGGGGGGGTTTTGGGGGGCATTGGGGTAAGGGGGAGATGGGGGCAAAGGGATTGGGGGGCATGGGTAAGGGGGTGTGGGGGAGTGGGACAAAGGATGTGGGGGTGGAGTGGGGGGAGATGGGGCCAAAGGGATGTGGGGGGGACATTGGGGTAAGGGGGAGATGGGGGCAAAGGGATGTGGGGGGGACTTAGGGGTAAGGGGGAGATGGAGGGCATGGGAGCAAAGGGATGTGGGGGGATATGGGATACAGGGATGGGGATGGGACATGGGGGGGTGAAGGGATGTAGGGGACTCAATGGGATCCAAAGGGATTCAGTGGGACCTAAAGGGACCCAATGGGACCTGAAGGGACTCAATGGAACCTGAAGGGACTCAGTGGGACCCAGTAGGACTCAATGGGACCCAATGGGACCTGAAAGGACTCAAAGGGACCCAATGGGACCTGAAGGGACGCAAAGGGATCCAACGGGAATTGAAGGGACCCAATGGGACTTGAAGGGACTCAATGGGACCTGAAGGGGCTCAAAGGGACCCAAAGGGAATTGAAGGGACCTAATGGGTCTCAAAGGGACTCAAGGGGAGCAATTGGGGCCCATTGGGACCTAAAGGGGACCTGAAGGGACTCAAAGGGACCCAATGGGACCCCTTGGCACCTAAAGGGGACCCAAAGGGACCCAATGGGTCTCAATGGGACCCGAAGGGACCCGAAGCGGCCTCACGGGTACCGGTTCCCCCCCGCAGGCCCCGCGGCTCCGGTCCCTGCCCCGCAGCACCCCTGGGGCCAGGCCCTGGCGTCGCTGCTGCGGCTCCTGAACCTGCTCCCGAGCGCCCCCTTCGGGACAGCGGCGGCAACAGCGGGCGGCGGCGGAACCGCGGGTCCCCCCCGGCAAGGGCTGCGGGCACCGGGGATGGGGACACGGGGACAAGGGGCAGGGATACGGGGACAAGGGGAATGGATACAGGGAGCAGGGAGAGGGATACAGGGACAAGGGGGAGGGATGCAGGGAGCAGGGGCAGGGACGCAGGGAGCAGGGGAATGGATGCAGGGAGCAGGGAGAGGGGTGCAGGGAGCAGGGGTACAGGGACAAGGGGAATGGATACAGGTAGCAGGGACAGGGACGCGGGGACAAGGGGAATGGATACAGGGACAAGGGAGAGGGACACAGGAAACAGGGACAGGGACACAGGGACAAGGGATAGGGGCACAGGGACAAGGGGAACGTCCCCAAGGAGCAGGGATATGGACACAGGGACAAGGGACAGGGACAAGGGGGCAAGGGGAGCGGATGCAGGGAGCAGGGACATGGACAGGGGGAGAAGGGGAACGGATGCAGGGACAAGGAGAATGGACACAGGGGCAAGGGGAATGGATGCAGGGAGCAGGGACATGGATGCAGGGAGCAGGGATGCAGGGACAAGGGGAATGGATGCAGGGACCAGGGAGAGGGATGCAGGGAGCAGGGACAGGGATGCAGGGACAAGGGACAGGGATGCAGGGAGCAGGGACATGGACACGGGGAGAAGGGGAATGGATGCAGGGAGCAGGGACAGGGATGCAGGGAGCAGGGACAGGGACACAGAGACAAGGGGAATGGATGCAGGGACAAGGGGAACGGATGCAGGCAGTACGGACATGGACACAGGGACAAGCGGACCCAGCCCAAGGACCAGGAGCGCGGCTCCAGGCACTGGGGCCGCATCCACAGGGACAAGGGGCACGGATCCCGGCCCAAGGGCCATGGACACAGGGCCAAGGGGAACGGATCCCAGCCCAAGAGCCATGGACACAGGGACAAGGGGAACGTCCCCAAGGGCCCCTCCAAGGCCCCCAGGCCCAGGGGGGGCTGCGGAGCTCCAGTGAGAACCGGAGCCGGATGAGGGCGATGCCACCGGAGCCTGGGGACATCGGGAGTCAGGACGGGTCCAGGGACACCGAGGACAGCGGGAGCAGAGGTACCAGGATGTGGGAATGGGGTAATGGGATAATGGGGAATGGGATATGGGGTATATGGGGTATGGGATATATGGGGTATGGGATATGGGATATATGCGGTATGGGATATATGGGGTATGGGATATATGGGGTATGGAATATGGGATATGGGGTATGGGATGTGGGGTATGGGATATATGGGATATGGGATATGGGGTATATGGGGTATGGGGTATTGGATGTGGGGGACACAACCCCAGTGTCCAGCTCTGTCCCTCACTGTGTCCCTTCTTCAGGCTGGGGACACTCAGAGGAGCTGCAGGACGTGGCATAGAGCTGTCCCCATGTCCCCCTATGGATCCTGTGTCCCAATGTGCCCATGTCCCAATGGTCCCATATCCCAATGTCCCCATGTCCCCCTATGGATCCTGTGTCCCAATGTCCCCATGTCCCAGTGGTCCCATATCCCAATGTCCCCATATCCCAATGTCCCAATGCCCCCCTATTGATCCTGCATCCCCATGTCCCCCTATTGATCCTGTGTCCCAATGTCCCCATGTCCCAATGTCCTCCTATTGATCCTGCATCCCAATTTCCCCATGTCCCCCTATTGATCCTGTCTCCATATCCCAATGTCCCAATGTCCCCATGTCCCAATGTCCCCATATCCCAATGTCCCAATGCCCCCCTATTGATCCTGCATCCCCATGTCCCCCTATTGATCCTGTGTCCCAATGTCCCCATGTCCCAATGTCCTCCTATTGATCCTGCATCCCAATTTCCCCATGTCCCCCTATTGATCCTGTCTCCATATCCCAATGTCCCAATGTCCCCATGTCCCAATGTCCCCATATCCCAATGTCCCCATGTCCCAATGCCCCCCTATTGATCCTGCCTCCCCATCTCCCTCTATTACCCCCATGTCCCCATCCCATCTCCCCATTAAAGACTGAAGCAGCATCACCCCCATTCCCATCCCTATGTGTGTGTGTGGGGGGGGTCCCCCAACATTAACACCAAGCCTGGGTCTTAAGGAGCCTTTAATAGGGGGCATCCATGGGGTCAATGGGGCCGGGGGGGCGCTGCTGCCTCCTCCCTATGGCTCCATGGGGCTGGTGCCCCATAGCCCCCCCCCTCCCCCCCTTGCTCAGGAGCTGCCCCCTGGCCCCGCCCCCTGGCCCGGGGCTGCCGTGGCCCCGCCTCCTTCCCACTCGGGCAGGGGGGGCCATGGGGCCACGGGGACCACGGGCAGGGGGGGCTCGGGGTCATCGGGCCGGGGGGGGCCCTGCGGCCTCGGGGGGGGGCCGGGCACGGGGGGGGGCGGCTGGGGGGGCGCTGGGGGGCGGCGCTCGGACATGGCTGGGGGGGCAAAGAGAGAGAGGGGTTATGGGGATCCCACCCCCATTGACCCCCCCATTGACCCTCGTTATGGAGACCCCCCCCATTGACCCCCGTTATGGGGATCCCACCCCCATTGATCCTGTTACGGTCATCCCACCCCCCATTGACCCCGTTATGGGGATCCCCCCATTGACCCCCGTTATGGGGACACCCCCCCGATTGACCCTGTTATGGAGGTCCGGGACCAATCCTGCCCCCCCCCTCCCCCATCCCATAGGGCTCCCCCCCACCGGTACCTGGTGTCTATGGCAGCAGCTCCAGCGCAGCACCGGGATCAATGGGAGCACCGGGAACACCGGGAGCAATGGGAGCAGTGGGAGCAATGGGAGCAGTGGGAGCAGTGGGAGCAATGGGAGCAATGGGGGCAATGGGAGCAATGGGAGCAGTGGGAGCAATGGGAGCAATGGGGGCAATGGGAGCAATGGGAGCAATGGGAGCTCTTATGGGCACCAGCAGGGCTGGAACCGGCCGGGCTGGAAGGTCGGGGGGGGGAATGGGACGTGGCAGCAGCTGCCCATGAGTCAGAGCCGCGCCCGGCCCTAGAGATAGAGCTGCCCCATAGACCTGCCCTATAGACTGCCCTATAGACCTGCCCCTATGGAGCTGCCCCATAGACCTGCCCCATAGACCAGCCCTTATAGACCTAACCCCCTATTAAACTGTCCCTTATATAGACCTGAACCTATAGACCCCCTATAGACCTGCCCCTATACACCTAACCCTTACAAACCCGACCCCTTTATAGACCTGCCCCTATTGTCCCCCCTATAGACCTGCCCCTATAGACCTAACCCCTCTTAACCTCTCCCTTATATAGATCTGACCCTATAGACCATCCCCCTATAGACCTGACCCTATAGAAACCGGGTGTGCGTTGGGTTGGGGACACTGGGGGGTGCTGGTGGTGACCCCTGGGTCCCTCCCCAGCTGATCCCAAGGACCCGGGGTCCCAAACAGCCCCCAGAGGGGAGCCTGGGCTCCTGCTTTAAGCCCAGGCAGAGGTCAGGTTGTGGGGCTGGCTATGGGGCAGGCTATGGGTGAGGTTATGGGGCTGGCTATGGGCCAAGGTGTGGGTCAGGCTGTGGGGCGCGGGCAGGGGCACGTTGGGGAGCGGGGGGGGCCCCAGCAGGTCCCGCAGCTCCGGTTCCAGCTTCAGCTCCAGCTCCTGCGGCCCCGTGGGGCTCGCGGTGGGGCCCGCGGTGGGGC